ATTTAAAAAGATGCAAATACACCTAAACCAGAAGTTAAAGAAATTAAACAAACACCAGAAATTCAATTAAATGCTGAATTAAGACCTCAGCCAACAGCCTATGGCGTGAGTTTCTCGTCTATTCAACCACACGGTACAACCACTACTATAGCTACTTATCCACCAACTAATTATTTTAAGAAAGATAGAACAATTAAACAATTATTTAATGTAGATATGAATCAATATGTTTCATCATTAGCTAAAAATATATATACTTATTTCAATAACAAAGATATAATTTATGCTAATAATTTTAAACCATCTCCACCTAAATATTCATTTTATAATAAAAATTTTGCTTATAAATTTGTTGCAATACCAAATACTTATATGTTTGATATATTGTATTTCTCTGATAAAGATAAGAGAGTAACTCAACAAAAATATGATAAACCATCTGTAAAAATAAATTTTGATCACAGAGTTCATAAAAATAATTCATTACATCCATACCTAATAGGTATAAATGTTAATACAAGATATGGGTATGTTATTTCTATTAAAGATAAAACTGCATCATCAATTATAAATGGTTTTGAAGAATTATTTAAACAAGGATTAAAAATGACAAATTTAATATTTGATGGAGAGCGAGGTATATCATCAAATGATTTTTCTGATTATATTAATTCTAAGAACATTAAATTATTTGTTACAGCAACAAAAATTCATACTTCTACAGCTCCTATTGATAGATTATGTAGAACTATAAGAGATTTATATGTCAAATATTATATTTTAAATGATGATGAATATAAAAACATTATTAATTCTATATCATTTCAAAACATGAAACGAAAAGAATTACTCCAATACATGACTAAAATACGCAAATTATTTAATGAAGGAGATTCAAAACGTATAACACCAGTTCCAACAACAGAAGAAGTATATAAATTAATGCAATATTATAACGATAGTTGTCATGATGGTTTAGTAAAAATATTTCAAGAATGTGGTAAAATATATAATTTTTATTATATTGATCCTAGTTACATAACACCTAAAATGGTACAAAATGATAAAATGTTAGAGAGAATAATTATATCATATTGTCAACATTATAATCAAAAAATAAGAAATAAATTAAAAAATTCAAAATATGATTTTATCAATGAAGAAGATGTTATTTTATTTGATGTTGAAGATGGAAATTTAAGAAAAAATAATAAATATATTGATTCTAAAAATTGGAAAATTTCCTTTCCATATGGAAATAATTATGAAATTTATAATGAAGATAATGATAATTACGAATCTAAAATTGTATCTAGATATTTATTAGAAAAGACTTTTAGAAGACATGATTTATAAATTATTTGACTTCAAATTTTTAATTTTTTTCGTAATAAATGAGTAAAGAATTCGAAAACAAAGGATATGGCTTAACAAAATTAGCGCCAAAAATTGATGGTTTTGGAATTAAAAAGGGATATGATAATGAAGATGTTATCGATTTTTCAACTATGGAACCAGAAGGAGTTAGTGCTAAATATCTAAATTTAGGTGGAAAAGATCTTGCTACTGATAAATATCAATTAAAATACAATAAAGAACATTTAGATCCAAAAGCTTTTCGTGTTTATTGTTCCAATAATAATTTAACTCCTTATAAGTATGATTTGGATGGAGATCAAATAGATGATTATATTGGAGTAGACCCAGGAAATAATATTAAAGCTTTTAATGAATTTTATGTTTCAAAACCAGGTAATTCACAAAGACCATACCAAAAGAAATATTATGATCAATACAATAAATATCAAAGAAAAGAAGTTCCTTATTTAAATTATCTAGGATTATTACCATTAGATGATAATGTTGAAGGATATGCAAGAGTTGGTAAAGGTAGTGGATTTTCAAAATCACTTAATACTGTAGATTATAAAATTAGAGAATATATATCTAAAATTTTAAATCCTGAATATATTTCATTAG